GTAATAAAGAGCTATCATTTGTTAGAAATGAATTATTAATCAGTTTCGAAGGGTTGGAGAAAAACAGGGAGCTTATTAACTCCCGTGATGCGTATTATCATAAAGCAATTCCACCACTCTCGCTGGATAAAGCGATAGCCACGAGAAATATAAAAATGTATAACGAATAAAATAAAAAGTATCGTACGAACAATCAGGGAAATTGGGAAAAATAATCGAGTATTGTTCGACGAAAAATTTAACAGAATCGAATTACAAAATTTCCATGTTTTATCCGATGTTTCGATCGATCTGTTACGATCCGTCTCGTAGCCGAGGAAGACGCAACACACCGTAAGAAATGCCGCGTCCTTAAAAACCTACGCTCGCCTAGGACCAAACGGAGCCCGAGGGAAGGACTCCTCGAATCCTTCGTAGGAGTCCAAGAAGCCGAGGAAGAAGCGGAGAATGATGCAGACAGAACGCCCTAGGGGCCCACTCTCTCTGCCGGATAGTCGATCTCGTTCTTTTCCTCCTTCTTCTTTATCGTATCAAAGGGAAGCTAGCGTGGGGAGGGAGGAGGAGGAGGAGGGGGGAGGGGCGAGAAGAAGAGGATCGTCGACTCGTACGTCTCGAAACACCGTTTAAAACTCCATTACGCTGTTCACCCGTGATCTCCTTGATCTCTCTACGAGTCAAGAAACTCGAGCTTAAATCGTGAACGATCGCCAGAACGGTCGCTCGGTTCCAAAACATCGTTCGAGACATCGAGGGCGATCGAGAGGATCACCTCCCCCTCCCTCCTCCACCTTCTCCTCCACCCCCCTTCTATTCTTCTACTCGAAAGAAAACGGCTTCGAGCAAATGGAGGGGGAGGAAGGAGGGAGAGTTTCGTGCAATTAAATTGCGCTTTACGAAATAAACCGCCACGGTTTGGTTTATACGTGAAAGCTTCGACTACTTGTGAGTGGCATGTCGAAGGTTTTTATCCTCCCCCGATAATCTAAGTTTTATTCAAATGAGCAATCCAGGAAATAATGTCATTCCGCGAGTTCTTTCGCGGGAACGTGAGGTATATTTCATCCTGGCGGTCGACGATATCTCAGCCGGAGAGGGGGGGAGGGGAGGGGGAGGGGGAATATTCACGTAATACGGTAAAATACAAATATCGACAAATGTAAAATACATTCGGGAGGGGGAAGGGGAGGGGGAGGGGAGAGGGGCATGAGTCATTACGGTAAAGCGGCACTGTTGGCTTAAATTATCCTATCGGTCGATTATGTCACGGGGTTCTTTTTTTTTTTTTTTTTTTCCTTTCTTTTTTTCCCTTTTTCTTCTCTTTTATGGACGTTATACAACCATGAATATTCATGCTGATCTATCGATAAATAATCGTAATTATAATTGTAAAACTCGACCCGATAACTTTCCTCCCGAGATGCGATATCATCTGGAAAAATTTATCAAACGCTTCCCGAGCAAAATGAAAAAAAAAAAAAAAAGAGAGAGAAAGAAAGAAAGAAAAGAAAAAAAAATTAAAATGAAACGCAGATAATTAAACCTCAATTAAGTCCAATTAAATTGAACCTTTCCAATAAGATCAACCCTCTCGCGATCCTATATCTCTCATCTTTAAAATTTACTCCTCTCGATTTTATAATTCAATCGACGCTTCAATCTTTTATAAAATTATATATATATATATATATATTCACTAGGAGATTTATTTCTTCGCATAGTAAATTATTATTATCGATCATTGCGAGCGATCCGAGAATTCGAAACAGAAATTTCAATTTCGCCGATCCGACGAAAAATTGTCGACCCGGCGCGCGATGAAAAAGAGGGGAGGGGGAGGAGGAGGATTAAACCGATTCGGCTATATCTCAACTAATTACGGGCAAACGTATGCAAACGATTCGAGTAAAGTTCAGTCGGATATTCCATGGCCAGAGGGCTTCCCCTTACTCGCAATCAGTGGCGCACTCCGTCTCTGTCAGCTTAGCACCGGTTATCCCCGGTCTATCTTTCTCTTGATGTATCGAACATTACACACGTGCACGTATATGTATCGTGTGTCGCGCGCGCTATATTTATGCGCGTCTGATAGCTGCGCGAGCGCGAGTGTCGCGCTCGGACGGCGGCGGCGGCGGCGGCGACGACGACGACGACGCGTGTATTCGCGCGTTACTCGCGTGCATTTCCGTGTATCGCAGCGTCGCGAAAATTAAAAGTCGCGGGAATTATAATCGCGCGAATCGTGACCACGGATATTCATTCCCTCCGATAACTCACCTCCCTCCCGCTCGGCTGGCTCGCGAAAAAATTGATCGAGCAGCCAGCTTTCTTCAACGATTTTTAATTTTTTAAAGGATCCGTGGATATATTATACGACTTTCTCTCGGTAAAGACTAGGTAATTGGATTGAATAAATTGGCTTCTCGACGTTTGAACTTTGAAGAAGTGTTGGGTTGAAAGTTACTGGATGAATTCGAGATTTAATATTAACCGAGATTTGGAGAGGATTGGATAATTCGCGAGAAAAGCGAAATTACGCGCGTAGAAAAAGTAATGAAAATGGTTGGTCCAATTTGACAAAAAATATATACTAGGACTTTAAAGAAAAAAAGAAAAATCGCGATGATACGATAGAAATTGTCTTAATACTTTCGAGCGTTTAATAACGAACACGTGACGTCGTTATTTTATCTCAAATCAACTTTGATTCATCGATGAATCACTCAATCCGCTGAATCAGAAAAGAAAAGAAAAAAAAAGAATTACAAATTGTCCGAAAAGAAATAATCGAATCCACCCTCGATGAATATGAGACAACAAAACGAGAGGGAGCGAGCAACGATTAAATGCGAAGCGATTAAAAAGTGGGAAAGGCGTTCGATACGAAAAATTCTCCCTATTAACGTTTTCTTCGCTGATGATGCAATAATGACGAATCTCGGTCGAGCTCTGTAATTTACGATCTATATACACAACCAAGCGGCGAGTTAGCGCATAATCGATCGTTGGTTATGTGAAAAACATCGGCTATAAGCTACTCCAGCCTCGGAATCCGATGAAATGTATGTCTTTGAAACGACTGGCGAACGTTAACTTCACCATTGGTCGCGCTTCACGTGCAAACACCCTTCTTCAATCCCATTAGCACCGGCTTTAGACACATGAATTGTACATGTACCATGTCACGATACTTCGTGGCCTATCGTTCTCTTGAACGGTTAACAAATTACAGCGGGGGCTCCCGCTTTTATCTGGACTCCATTTATCGGAACGAAAATTTTCATCAATACCCTATTAAGCGGACACTAATAGAGCTCTTATTATCTAAACCGATCGCTCCAATTATATCGAACGGTTTGCACCAAATGAAAACAAACACGTAACACGATAAACTGACGCGCAATGTAATTCAAAAAAAAAAAAAAAAATGAAATACAGTCAGTCGTAGAAGTTATTCGTAGTATTGTGTTAATTCTGTTTTATATGGAACATAGATACACTTCTTATGGAAGTTGGAATATTATCTCGAGGGATAAAATCAATCCTTGAAATTTTAATATTATTTTCGTTTGATTTCGTAACGATATAAAATATAAAAGGAATATTGAACGAATAATATTCAAGTTTTAGGTTGTTTCCAATCGAAATTGTATAAACGTGAAAAATAATAATAAAATTTTGAAGATTAATTTCGCGCGCTCAAGAAAATCTACGTATAATCCATTCTTACTCTACGTACGCGATAACAATTTTCATTGAAATCAAATTATTTTATTTATTTTAAAATTTATTTTAAAATAAATTAAAATAGTCAGTGAATTATTTTTGCGATTCACAATTCGAAGGACTTTTATTATATCGAGTTTACTCCATTATATCCATTATTACTACGAATTGCTGTTTTTCCTCCGTCGGGTTTTGATAAATGGAGTTTTGATCGTTTGATATCTTTACATTCGATTTTCCAAACTATTATCCGCGAACGTACAGAGGAAAATCAACCCTTCTCTGTGTACGTCATATTTCAGATTTCTTTCAGATTATACGCATCGATAAAAGTATACGTCACTGGTAAAAGCGTAAAGTCGTTTAAATAATTCAAGAAATATGAACACGCACAATCAAATTAGAAACGAAGTGACGAGAATAGAAACGAGTATGATATATGTCCTCGATGTCCCTCCTTTTTTCACGGTTTACAGACAATTGCTATTTTTTTTTTTTTTTCCTTTCTTACGTATTGCGTAAGTCGTGGATAATTGGTATTGTCGAGAGAAACGGCAAGATAAATTTGATATAAATTGAATTACTGAAACGGATATAATTAACGTAACGATGGTTATTTGTGATTTTCGTGGTTTTTAATCCGTCGCTTACGACAAAATTTGTCGAAACTCTCTCAATTTTTATCCCATCCATTTTTTTCTTTCCTTTCCTTCTTTTTTTTTTTTTCTTTTTCCCCGCTTCTTTTCATTCGACGAATTGGCCCAACAATACCATTTCCATAATGTATAAAATAAAACAGACGTTTCGTGCAAGTGCACTTTATCAATATATATATATATATATATATATATATATATATATATACAAAGAAACGTCGATTATCCGCCAAATCGCTATACCATAACATTCCGCGTAAAAGCTAACGTAAAAGCATTGGCCATGCATACTCCCCTATCCTAATATCCCTCGACTTATCGCGCAAACTTATCCAAATAAACGACTCTGGTTAAAAAAGGGAAAAAAAATTTGATAAATTCCAATAGAAGCTTCGCCACTCCAAGTATCACGCTATTCTCCAATCTGACCAGTCAGGAAGCCAACATCCGCGTAACCGGCATTTCATACCATACAGAGTACACCACGCGTACCGATATTCATGGGTATTTAATCGGCGCAACGAAAGGGCACAAAATATACATGTATATATATATATACATATATATTTTTAATATACATATATATATACATATATATACATATATACATACACTACCAACCTTTTTCCGTTCCGGCGTCGCCTCTTGGTGGCATAGACGGTTCCCAGTTGGCTCATGGCGACCGGGTTGTTGGGTCCCGACGCCGTGGTCGGGGTCGGTACCGGCGCCGAGGTGGGCGTCATCGCGGGATCAACGACGTGGGGCTGAGGGTGAGAGGCGGTCAGGGTGAGCTGAGGTCCCGGGGGATAGCATGCCGCCGTCACGTAATCCGTCGCCGCAAGGGACGCGCTCGCTGGTCCACAAATCCCGGCGACCACCCCCTGCACTTCACCCCCGATGCTTGTCCCGCTACCACCGCCACTTCCACCACCTCCACCTCCACCTCCTCCTCCTCCTCCTCCTCCTCCTCCTCCTCCGCCTGCCGCTCCACCACCGCCAGCGACACCGACAACACCCCCAACCACCCCCAGCCCCGCCGAGGCGGTCCTGTCCAGCGCGTACACCGTGCAGACCGTGACGCCCTTTGCCTCTGCCGACGCTACGTCATCGTTGTCTGTCACTGGCGGCTCGGCCAGCTGCCGGCGTCGAGCTTTCGATTCTCGATCCCGGTGCTGGGCGTCGGGACAACGATGCAGCTGCGACAGCTGTTCCCGTTGCGGCAACGTACCACTGATAACGGACACTTCTCTGCCTCTTCCCGCGCCCGTATATATTATATCGACGATTAACACCGTCCGGTATCGATGATATTGTTACGCCTCCTCCGCCACCCTTCCTTTCAAACGGAATTTAAATTTACCATCGATCCAATTATCGTCGCACTTTCGACGACATAACGAGCGGAGAAAAAAAAAAAAAATCGCCGACTCGATGGTAATGGGACGGCGGACGGCGGCGCGAAATTGTCCGCTGGTCGGTGTCGATCACTCGAAGCACACAGTTGCGCAACGTCGATAACGTAACTCGTTTCAATTAATTACCGGCTACCGAGGATACCACTGTTGTTGACACGTACACGTCGGATCCCGTCGGATCACGATCGACGAAACGAAAAATCATCTTTCCAATTCGTAGGTAAGGCAAAAGATCCGTGAACCATCACTCTCGTGACACGATCGTTCGCACATTTGCCGAGTTCACTGTACGTCACCGATATCTGCGTGTATTTGGACGAGATTTCAATCGAGACGCGGGCACGGTCGATCACTGTCGTTTGGCGCGCGCATCACGCGGAAAACAGTCGAGCATCGACGAGTCCTGTCACTGAAACCCACCGTCACTGCGAACGTCCACCGATTCGTCGCGGGATCACGATCCCGCTCCGATCGCACTCGAGAATCGAAACTCGCGCGAAACCGTCCACTCGGGTCCTACAGCGTCGTTGTGACGCGTTCATCCTTCCCTTCCATCCGATTCGATCGGCCACCGAAAAAAAAAAAAAAAAAAGAAAAAGAAAAGGAAGAAAAAAAATGCTACTCTCGTGCTTCTCACTGCTATCAGCTCTCGGCTATCGCCACTCACTCAGTAGGGTGTACCACTACCGCTCTTTAATCAAAACGCGGTAGTATTCCAATTAGAAGGTATTCGCCGCGTACAGGCGATCACGTGACAGGGCCTCAGTTTCTAACCTTTAAAACCGTGTGTGCATAAAACCGTGTGCGCACGTATACACAACCACCATAAGTCGCTGGGTTTGCCAGTTTGCGATCGCCGACACGATATATTATTCCAGCCACGTTTTCAGACGATCAGATCACGTCACGTGCACGCGGAAACTGAACCGCGCATCCCTCTCTCACCCGCCAACACTTCCCTCCCTCCCTTCGTCCTCTCCACATCCCCCCCCACCCACGACCGGACCGAGCTCCCTCCTTCCCTCCCCTTAACGGACACTTTTTTCCCCGCGGTGACGCGACTCGCGTGAAGAGACGCGGATTCGCGGCCGCCGCCCGTACGATTTCCGCGTCGAAAACCGTGGCGAGGTAGAGGACAGAGGTAGAGGTAAACGAGCACGGAGAAACCCGGTGTTCGCCTGGTAGGAGCGTATCGTGTACTGGCTGCCCTGCCGGGCGTAGCATAAGTCAGGAGACCGTGGCATAGATCGGAACGGGGGATCGGGTGGTGGTGGCGGCGGTTCGTGGTGGGTACAACTTACCTCATCGGGAAGAGGAGGTAACCTCGACGCGATACCCGCTCCGGCCGCCACCTTCTACCCCCTGAAATTGCCCCGTCGCTCAAGCGATCCCCTCCCGCGCCCGTGGCCACACCCACCGGCCGGACGCCCCGGCCAATCGCGCGCCCAGCATGGCGCTATTCTGCCCAACCCGCGCCGCGCCGCAACGATACCATCGCGCGCGTTAAACGATTACACCTATTCCACCGGTGATCACCCTTTCCTTGTCCGACGAACGGGCCACTCCTACGCGTACGCGCCCGCTCTCTGTCGCGCCCAAGGACGCCAGGCTGGGAATTTCGTTCGGCTCGGATCTATTCTGTGTCGTTTGTAATATTTCCGACGAGGACGACTCTGTTTAAGTTCGACGCTTGTCTTCCCCTCCTCTCTCTCTTTTTCTCTCGTTTCATCCGTGATACGCATTCGAAACGGGTACTGAAGAGACTAGAGAATCTCTCGTGGACAATCGGCAAATTTTTCTTTTAATTTTTAAGATCGATGGGAGAGTGAGATAAATTTGAGAGCTTATTGAGCGAACGTGATAAGATTTCATTGGATGGCGGAGGATATTCAAATTCCTTTTTCTACTCGCGTTTCTTTTTTTTTTAAATTTGATGAATAGAAGAGGCAGAGGTGAAAGTAAGTTCATCGAGCATTATTCGATAAAATGGTGAAATCTTGTTGATGCACTTGTACGATTTTATCGTTCGATCTTGTCGATATTACGATTTCACGTTAAATCATTGCATTCCTTTCCTTCTCTTGAAGTAAAAGAAAAATTATTATGAATGCGTTGTATAATAATCTTTTCTGTGTTCCGTGACGCCATGGATGCTCGTGCATGCGAAATTGATCCGACGGAATGGAAAATATAATTGCATCTTCCATGAAATACAATTAAAATATGTATATAGAGCATTTAAATGTTATTCATACGCATAAACAGAAAAAATTATCTCAATTTACTGCTTAAACGAGATAATTACCATATTTTTTTCATCCGACAAATTAGATATGAACGTAACAATCAAGATACACGATTCTTATTAATAATCTCATTATACAGAATATTTATCAATTAACGTTATCATTAAACTACCAAACCATTTTTCACAAGTGTATTTCCCATATAATATTATCCGATACAAAACTATTGCACCATAAAATGATCCAAGCTCAATCCTCGATGGAAATCTTCTTTCAACTCCAACCACTTGGATCGTCTTGTAACGATACAATCGTCAAATATTGCTCGAACGATTCTTCACACGCCGTGCCCCCTGAACACGGCGCTCCTTATCAAACAAAGATTCTCTTCGTGAGCGTAATCAGATCGTGAAACACGTTCGATATATCCGATCGTTTCGAGGCGAGGTGGAACGGACACGTTGGCGATATCGAGGCGACGTTAAGCTAAGAACCGATCGTGTCGTCGAGCACACATTTTGAAACGACTTTATCCGATATGAAACTTCACCTTCGCAAAAACAGATTGCTCGAATTGATCGAAACGTTTGGATGACATGCGATTCCATTCCATTTTATCCTCGGATCGCTCGATATCCGCGTATCGTCCGTTGGAAAGAAAATATTCGACGGGATAATGTAACGATCGTGAAACGAGGAGCTTCGTATTATTTCGTCAAGCTTGCATGAATCGTCAAGTTGCATGCGTGGAACACATGTATGAGAAGTTGTCTCGATCATCGTTCGTAAGGGATGAATCTTGTTCCGATATTTTTGATCGCATCGGACACGAAATCTGAAGAGAATTAGAAGGAATACTTTCTTTGTTTTTTTAAAAAAAATTAACGAATTTTATCGCGATATGCGGTATTTGTTACGATTTGGAGGAAAAGAATTTTTGCATTTGGGGGGGACTTCAAAGCTCTCGACGGAGAGAGAAAAGACAGCGAGAAAGAGAGAAGGATTATTCGAGATAAGTGATCAACATCGTCGTCCGCGGCATTACGTAAAATAACGTTTGCCTCAATTTAAACTTTTCTCTGTCTATGTATCGGATGGTTTTTCTTCCACAGCGCTGCTTATTCTATAATGCATGGCTACAATTATCTGAAAAACACGTAGAACTAATTATAACTTCCCAAGGCTTTTCTCTGCAATTGTTTCTTGCTCGCAATTGCCTCGCGTTCTTTTTGCACTTGTATGAATTATTCCTCGGAAACTTCTATTCGCGTTCAGGTAACAGCCTTTAAATAATAATATTTATAGTCAGATTAAAGAAGATAAAAATATTCGTGAAAGTTTTAATTTTAAGGAATTATTTCTTTATTTCTTTATATAAAAAAAAAAAAATTCTTCTTTGGCGTGTAATAAATACGGTATTTTATTCTTACCATAAAAAAAAAAAGAAGGAAAAGAAAAAGAAAAAGAAAAAGAAAAAGAAAAAGAAAAATTGAAGCATTCAGACAGTTCGCTGTTGATAATTATACCGGTGAAATGACTGCCATTTTATTTATTTACCTGTAGACACTGGCTGCAGTAGCAACGATCTTGTTTTTCAATAACGTATCACACACTTTCTTACGAAAAATTCCATTCGCATTAAAAACTCATTTCACGCATGCATTTCGGATACAGACATTGAAAAGGAACTCTTTTACACGCAACAAACGCGCTCTTCCTCAGCTATCTCTCATTCCCTTCCATTCAACGATGCTCAATTCGATTCTTCTTCCCTTTACATTTTCTCTACAGTTACTACCCCGATTTTAAAAATTTTAAAAATTTTCTTGAAATTGGAACAATTTCTAGATCTTTTTGACTTTCAACAATTTTTATAATTATTCGTCACGAGATTAAAAATATTTAAAAGAGATGTGTAAATATCTTTTTGATCTTCGAGTATTAGAAATTATGGTACTCTTTGCCATAATTTTCATAAGAAGTAAATATCCATTGAACATGGAAGAAATCATGGATCTTTGAATTTCAAATTGGAGATATTCGTTATAAGAGAAATTTACAAGCATTTTCTTGATCTTTAAATATTCGAGAAATTGAATTCGAGAAAATCGATTCGTTTCTTCCAAATTTCCACGGTATTTATTGAAACTACGATTAGATATTTCTTCTATGTTCTTCA